TCATGCGGAGAAAAGTACTTCTTAGCCCTAAACAAATAGCCTAGCTTTTTCCCAGCAGCTGCAGCTATTGAAGAGATGTGTTCGTGCCAGATCAGGTCCTCGGTGATCTGGACTCCGACCAGCCGAAATGAATGGCTCTTTGCTAGAACTCGACCGTCCATCGAAACTGTATGAGCGCTAGGACGCTTTTTGTTCGTCAAAGTACAGTACTGTGTTTTGGAAGCATTGAACTGTACAAGATTGTTGCGTCCCCAAGCAGTGATAGCCTCCAGGTCTCTTGTCAGAGAAGAAGTCGTCGCTAGTCTTCTTTTTTCCAGCTCAGCGGCAGAGATCGGCTTGTCACTCTGAATTCCTGCATGTAGAGTGCTGTCATCAGCGAAGCTGTGGATTGGGTTGATCGTGCAGGAAAGGAGGTCGTTGATATGTAAGAGAAACAGTGTTGGAGCCAAGACCGATCCCTGGGGAACACCCGCGTTGACGTTGTGGGATGAAGAGGAGAATCCGTCAATTACGACGGATATCTTGCGGCCGGAGATAAAGTCAGCCACCCATCTGCAAAGCTTTTCTGGGAGGCCGTAGGATGGAAGTTTGCTCAAGAGGGCAGCGTGCCACAGCTGATCGAACGCTTTCGTGATGTCAAGAGCAACGACATGAGCCTCACCATGAGACTGGATGAGTTTGCTCCACAGTTGCGTGACGTAAGCTAGGAGGTCCCCTGTGGATCGTTGGTGCCGGAAACCGTACTGCCTGTCGCTAATCAAGCTGTGACGTTCGAGGTAGTCCAGAAGCTCGCGATTTATGCACCTCTCCATCACTTTACTTATAACAGAAAGCAGAGCTATAGGCCTGTAGTTGTAAGGGTCGGTTTTAGATCCTTTTTTTGGGATGGGCTGTACATGAGCAAATTTCCAGTTTTCTGGGAAGGTGCCGGATTCATAAGATATCTGGAAGAGACGCGAAAGAACTGGAGCAAGCTCAGCTGCACATCTCTTCAGTACAATGGCAGGAATCAAGTCCGGACCAGAAGCTTTGTTGGTGTCGAGCGACAAGAGCACTCGTCTTACGGTCTTATGCCTGAATGTTACCTCCCGCATAGTGTGGGGAACCCTTTGAATTGACGGCACTTGGGCGTTGGTGGGGACGTCCATGGTGGAGTTGGCAGCAAAGATCTTGGCTAGCACTTCCGCCTTGGCCTTTGAGTCGAATACAATAGTTCCATCCTGACACGTAAGTGGTGGAAGGCTACTGTGTGAGAAGTTCTTTTCAATCTGCTTGGCCAGCGTCCAGAAAGACCGACTGCCATTGCGCTGCGACATTACCCTGTGCCTAACTTTTATATCATGCTGGTTTTTGGCATTGCGAACCGCTTCGTTATATTTGTTTCTGGACTCGACGTCGGCTTGTCTGTTCTCTACAGTGGGGTTTTGTAAGTAGGTTCTGTGGGCCTTGATCTTCTGCTGGCGAGCAGTGTCACACGATTTGTTGAACCAGCCGTTGGACCCTGGTTTAGGAACTTTCACTGTGTGAGGGATGTATTCCTCCATTCCGACGTGGATAATTTCGGTTATTGAAGAACAGACAGTCGACGCATCCGCGTCAGTGAAACAGACATCTCTCCAAGGAAAGCTAGAGAAGAAGTCTCTGAGCCCCTCCCAGTCGGCATGTCCGTAATGCCAAGTTTTGCGGCCTGTGCGAGTTTCTGCGGCCACAGCGGCTTCTGACCGAAACCTAACCTCCACAACACCGTGATCTGAGTTACCCAGGGGGGACAGGACAGCAGTGCTGTAAGGGGCAGGATGCGTGGTCAGAAAGAGATCCAGCAGGCTACTGGCGTGTGACGAGACGCGGGGGAAAAAAGTAGGGCTCGTCACCAGCTGGGTCAGCCCTTGAGTAAGAGCGAACGCTTCGACTGCACGACCTGCTGCATCGGTCTTATTTGAGCCCAACCAAAGCTCATTATGGGCATTGAAATCACCGAGAAGAACTACCTCTGAAGCGGGGTGATTGATGTTCAGAAAGTCGATCTGGACGGCGAGGTATTCGAGTAGGTCATCCCATTTATGGTTCGAGGGAGAGCGATAAAGGCAGCAAATAAATTTGGGTGATGTTTTGGAGTTGAGGCGAAGCCACAGAATGTCCTTCCGGTCTGTTTCCAAAGAAAGATCCCTGGAGCAGGAAAGACTGCTGCGGACAAAAGCCACAACTCCCCCGTTCTTTCTCAGATTGGAGTGCACCTCGTAGTTTGGGAAGTTGAGATGGTTAATCGGTGCAGCCTCTGAGATTTTTGTCTCCGCCAAGAAAAGCACGGCGGGACGATTGGATTGCAGGTAGTGATGAACAGCATCAATGTTGCTGTTGATCCCGCAGATGTTCGAAAAACAAATTTTATCTTCGATGTTGTTCCCTCGAGCCCACCCTCCACCCGGACATTCCGAGAGTGGAGTGAGTTTACGTCCGGAGTTTTTAGTGCTCGAGGGATCCATCATCATTAATTTCTTTGTTTTGGTAGATAACCGACTGCTTAGCTTAGGTGTGGAAACATGCGGACATTTATAAGACACCCTGGGAAAAGCTAGCGGGTGGTACTGCCTCGGTCGACTGGTCCTTGTCTACCACCTTCTTTTTACGTATTAGTGATGTTAAATAGACCTAAAGTGGCCCGTTGGCGGACTTGTACCGCCACCCGGCAATCGGTACTGAGGTATTCCTTAACGCGTGCGCAATCACTTGGACGGGAAGAAGTTGTATACTGGATACAACGACTTCCGGAACAAGCATTTGCCACGGCCCTCGCTCAGTAGGGGATGTGATGTCGTTTATTATCCATGATTGGATCAATTGACCAAAAATCGTCTTCAAATCATCCAAAATAACTGTGTTCGCTTTATTTATGGGTTGCGTAAATACGATCACGTAAGTGATAAATATAGGGAATTGAACTGGCTTAGGTTGGGAAGGTTGGTTAAACATAAATTCTTAGTTTTAGTTCATAAAATAATAATGTCATCAAAGCCTGAATATCTAAGAGCTAAGTTAAGATTTAATTACGAAGTGCATGACAGGGCTGTTAGGAATCGTTATAGTATCAGAACCACCCCACAAACTTCTGCATTATTCTAACGAGGATTTACATATAATGCAGCACTATTTTATAATCAGTTGGACAACAGTATTAAATTGATGTCTTTGGAAAGTTTTCGTAAACATACTAAAAGCATGTTGCTCGCTATTGATTAAATAAGCGTTTCTTCTACAGATATAGATTGTGTCTATTTGTATTTTATACTTAGGTATATATGTGTTCTTTTTTTCATTGTTCTTATATTTTTTTCCATGTTTTGAACATCAGATGTAACCTACATAAACAGTTATGTGTAAGAGTAGCCTTGGCTAAACTTCGCTGTTTATATCCCTCCGGGTTATCCAATAAAGACGTTATTATTATTAGTATTATTATTAAATATTGTTTAAACTTTTGCTTGGCAGTTTCTGACATAGGCTCAACTTCTCTCTAGAACCCAAACATTCTTCTTTTCTTTATCTGTCTGTCGTCTGACTTCTTTTAACTTTGGCTCTACACCCAGAGTTTCACTAAGCTCTCTTGCTACCAATGTAGCCTCCAGAAAATTTTGAACTCTAAATTTCTGAAAAAAATAAACTAGCTCTTGAAGTAACTCCAAGGCAGCGCTCCGGTAAGCATCAGTAACCCCAAACCCCGCCGTCACTATCAAACGATTGCATTCTCTACGTGAAGAAAATGCAGTTGCACATGTAATGACAGCAGAATACAAGTTTAACTGAAATTCCCACCACGAGCAATCAATACACTTAAGCTGTAAGCATTGTTTAAATCAATCTAACTGACAAAGCAACACGCAGGATGTCTGTGTAATTGAAATTCCACTGCAAAAGGCAGTAGTGCACTTCTCGCCCCTCCACACCTCATCTGCCCCCATTCGGCACCCCTCTCACCCCAATTGGTTGTCGGTTGACCGCAGTGTACGACGCAATCGACCACAGATCGATGCTCGCGTCTCCTCCAAGACACAGATACATGCCAGATACAAGTTGCAATTGATTGTCACCCAATGACATTTGGCTTTCGCGTAACGAATCAATGATGCATGTGTCTGTTCGGAATTTGATAATTAGTTTTTGTTAAAATATTCATCTGTCAGCTCAAAAGACTATTAAAACCCTCCATCGCTCGCACCGTTAGAAAAAATCTAACATTTTTTAAATGTTTCTCATAAATTTGAAGTTACGCGGCTTAGCAGGTCCACCATCTAGGAATACTCCTTCAAACTAATCTACTATGTGAATCAGTGGTCGTGGAGAGGAGCTATTTTGTTCTAGTGCCGCAATCACATAATGTAATCGGGTTAGATAAAATCTAACGACGCGAGTGACGGCGTGTGTAAAATTTTCGGATTTCTGGATAAACTATCCTTAGTAAATTTGGTATAACTAGTGGCCCGGTAAGTTTTATTGTTTTATTAATTATTTTCAACTTATCTAATATTTTTTTCAGCATAGCCATGGATGAAAAAATTCAAAAGCAGTGGATGCAATGGTATGAAGAGATTCAGACTGACGAAGAGTTGGTTGGTTCCGATAATGATCTGAGCGATCAGCCTTCAGAGCATAATGACTATAACACAGATACAGAACAGTCTGGAGATGAAACAGTTGAGATATTTCCTGAATCTTCAGAGATCTTAACTGATGGTATACCTAAATTTTACGGAAAAGATAAAACACCGTGGTTCAAACAAAAACCACCTGCACCCAAAGGCAAGACAAAAGCCCATAATCTTGTTACAAAACTGCCTGGAGTAAAAAGTTATGCAAAAAATGCAAAAACCATTATAGACTGCTGGAAGTTGTTTGTTACAGATACGATGATAAATGATATTGTAAAATATACAAATCTGAAGTTAGATTTGATGAGAGAATCTTATCAGCGCCCCCGAGACTGTCCTCCAACTGACTATGACGAAATGCTAGCATTTACTGGAATCCTTTATATGGCTGGCGTAAAGAAAGCCCAACACCTCAACACTGAAGAAATGTGGAAAACCGATGGTACAGCACCTGACTTCTTTATCCCTACTATGTCCAAAAAAAGGTTTCATCAGTTGATTCAATCTATTAGATTTGATGATGCCACCAAGCGACATGAGACTTCTAAAATTGATAATCCGATTCGCCAATTTTTTGAAACATTCGTAACAAATTGTAAACAAGCTTATTCTCTGGGATTTTACGTAACAATTGACGAAATGTTGGAGGCATTTCGGGGCAGATGCCGACTTAGACAATACATAGCCAACAAGCCCGCCAAATACGGCATAAAGATCTATGGATTAGTAGACGCTAGAACATTTTTTACATCAAATCTACGCGGGTAAACAACCAGAGGGACCATTTCAACTAAAAAATGACGCAGAGAGTGTTGTATTGCGACTTATAGAGCCAATTAGTGGTACAGGAAGAAATGTAACCACTGACAATTATTTCACATCAGTGCCATTGGCTAATAGCTTATTAGTAAACCATCGACTAACTACAATAGGAACAATGCGCAAAAATATGCCTCAAGTTCCTCGAGAGCTTCTAGATGTGAAAAATAGACCAGTAAAAAGCAGCCTGTTGCATATGGTGAATCTCGGATGAAAACCCCAATAAGTGCCTTCTTGCTTCATATGTACCAAAGCGAAACAAAAACGTGCTGTTATTATCAACCCTGCATGATGATGGTAAGGTCGACGATGACACTGGAGATGCTTTCAAGCCCGAAGTTATTACAGACTATAATCTTACGAAAGGAGGCGTAGATGTGGTCGACCAAATTAAATCTGAATATTCAACAGCACGATTCAGCAATAGATGGCCATATACCGCATTCTGTGGGCTTCTGAATATATCAACCATCAACAGCCAAATAATATATCGAGAGAATACAAACCATATTATTACCAGAAGGCAATTTATATCGGAACTTAGTAAATTGCTTGTCATGCCTCACCTGTACAGACGTTCTCAGATTCCAAGTTTGCCTTATCTACTTAGTCAAAAGATTAGAAACATAACTGGAGAAAGAACAACCCCAAATAGAGACCAAGCCACTCAAGCCAAAGTAAAATGTGAATTCTGTCCATTGAGAAAAAACAGGTTCACTCAGAGAAATTGTTCAATCTGTAGATCACCGATATGCAAGGAACATACAGCAATAACTTCATTGACCTGTCGTGAATGCCATGGACGTAACGAGAATGTTTAAAGTGCGTAAGTGTTTTGTAAAGCATTTATGTAAACGCTTTCAATATATACCCTGCATTTATTTTTTTAGGGTTTCCTTCAGCTCTAGAGGATTCCAGAATGAAACATCAGAAGAAGAAACCTTCAGTTCATAAATTTTAGATGAAGAATTTTCAGTGTTTCGTTAGTATTTTTGTTATAGTTTATAACAATAATTTTTCACTAATGTATAGCTTAATAGTATACTTGACAATATAAACATTTAGTTTAAATAAAAATAGCTTTTTTATTGAACATCTGAATGTTAGATAAAATCTAGCTCGCGAGCGATGGTGTAATAGAATGAGGCGCGAGCGATGGAGGGTTAATTGACAAGCCTCCCCAGACATCTATGTTCTGTAGATCATAGATCAGTAGTTCGTCTGTTGTTTGAGATACACACAACGGAAATTGAGATCTTTATGGAGAGAAACGCATTTCCAGTTTCAAATAAAGGCAAAATTATCTAGAGCGCAAATCCGTATCGGCAATTGTAATTTTTATCTCTGAGAAAGCGCCAAAGCTGAAAGAAGGTTCGACATTTTTCTCTTATTTTGAATAAGTCGAGGGATTTTGTTATTAAAAAACGGTCAAAGAAATTTGAGTGCAAAATATTAATATTTACGTCGACGGAAAGCATTTTAAAATCAAGGATCGACGCGAGGCTAGAAAACGTACCTGTACGCGAGACTAGTCCGCGTGACGTCAGTAGCCAGACACGTGCTGTCGCCCTCATAGAGTACTTGTATCTTGTATTGTCTTGTATACGGAGTGAAGAGTATACGAATACGAATTTATATGAACTGGCACCGACGTTTGCGTACTTTATTTGAGGCCATTATTCGCAAAACTTGCTAATCGACAAAATCTTAGAAATTTCTTTTTTTTGCTAAGTGCATTTCAATTTTAAAGAGAAATCGAATGATGAAATCAGAATTTCTCAAAACTCTCACTTTAGCATGTAAATACTGTCGAGAAAAATACAGTTATATGCAGAACTTGCTCTTTGCTTTGACGTTTTATACTAACTGACATATAAATCCGAACACCCAGTTTAAATGGTTTTATTTTAATAAAAGTTAGTGAATGTATTTATCTTACTGTAAATAACAAGTGAAAAAATTTTCAGCCTTATCAGTTGGACGTTCCGGTTTTTATACTGCTTTTTTTTAATTCACTAACGCTCTAAAAATGAATATTTCAGCCGCAGTAAAGAATCAACGTTGGCGGATTTTGGTTCTTGACATCCTTTACGATCGGTTACGATGCCTAGAGTACGGAGACCTGTACGATTTCGTCAACTTGTGAGTTTGATAGGGGCCGTATAGTGGGACTTCGGGGAGCTGGACTTTCTTTTCAAGCAATTGCAGTTAGAGTGCAAAGAAGTGTAGACACTGTGATTAGGTGTTGTCAGGCATGGGATCAGGAATGGAACAGTATTGTCTTTAGTGACGAGTCTCGATTTTGTTTAGGCATGCACGATGGTCGTGCAAGGGTTAGAAGGCGACGTGGTGAAAGGAGGAATCCACAGTTTGTTGTTGAAAGACATGTTCATCACACTGTTGGAGTTATGGTTTGGGGTGCTATAGCTTATGCTTCCAGGTCACCTTTAATCTTCATCAGAGGTAACATGAACGCGCAGCGTTATATCCACGAAGTTCTAGAACCCCATCTTTTACCCTATCTTGACACCCTGACAGATCCAACTTTCTAACAAGATAATGCCCGACCACATGTTGCAAGAGTCACAATAGACTTCTTTCAACATAATGATGTCACATTGTTACCATGGCCACCAAGATCTCCCGACTTATCCCCAGTTGAGCACGTGTAGGATATGATGGGTAGGAGATTGCTCAATTTGCAACGTCCTCCTCAGACTCTAGAAGCACTTCGAGAGGAGTTGGTGGTTGCCTGGAATGAGATACCACAGGAGGACATTGACCACCTGATCAGAAGCATGCCTAGGCGCGTTGGAGAATGCGTAGCACATCAGGGTGCATCCACACATTATTAAAGGTCAAAGGGCTTTAAAGCAGTGCAATCATTTTGAAATTTTTGTCATTTACTTATTATGCTTCATTAAGTACTTATACAAAATTTTATTAAAATAAAACCATTTAAACTGGGTTTTCGGATTTATATGGCACTTAGTATACTTGCAAAACTCGCTGCTTGCTCTGCCACCAATAAAATTTCCCCGTTGATTCACGTGACGAACACGCTATTACAACAGCAGTTCACTAGTAACGGATTTTCAGTAGTTTGTATTCAAGCGACTAAACATTTCACGAATTAGGAACAATTGTTTATTTTTATGGATTTAGTAGGTGAAAAAGTTTTTCCTGTTAAACCTAGTCCACAGGAAAAAGGTCGCAAAAAACTTCTTCAACCAGAAACACATAAAAGGAATGTTGATAAACTTGCTAGGTAAGTGCTTTATCTTAAACTTATGATTTTAGACTTATGCGACAATTCAAGTTTTTTATGCAGTTTCATTTGTTTTTCGCGATGTCTTTACGTTGAGTAGGGCTACAGACAAAGTTTACTAGTTCTGTGTTGTATTGTTACAGATATATACCAAAAGCGCTGCCGACCATTCCAATTTGTGGTCATAATGGACGACCTGGATTGCCCTATTATTGTACCACACTCACAATGAAGCAGGTTAAAGATTTCCATGCCTACCTTTATCAGTCAAAAGATAAAATTAAACAAGACCTTCTAATATTGGCTTGTTGTAAGGAAAAAGAGGAAAATCTAATCATGCTGCAGCGTCGATAAAATACCATGTACGTTTGAGTGAGGGCGAGTTGATTAGAGTATGTGCCAAATCATTTCTCGGAATCACAAATTTAAGCAAGGACCGCATACAAAGAATTGTAAGAAATTTTGTTGTCACAGGGGAGCTACCCAGGGTGGGTCCAAAAAATTACGAAACAAGAAACTGCATCAAAAGATTTATAGAATCCATTACATGTACCGAGTCTCATTACTGTAGAAGCAAGACAAGCGTGAGGGTCTACCTGCCATGTGACTTGAATTTCAAGAAACTTTTCGACCATTATCTTCGGAGAGTGCCTCAGCCTATGCATGTGAAGCTTAGTTATTTTCGAAAGTATGTGAATGCTAACTACAACATCGCATTTGGAACTTCGTTGACTGACTGTTGCTTCACGTGCTTGAGAACAAAGGAGCAGTTGAAAGTAACAACTTCTTTAGATGTTCGTCAAAAGTTAGTCACTGAGCATCGTGTTCATATCGCAAAAGCAAAGGCTTTTTTCAAACTCCTTAAAAATCAAAAACCAAACACAACTTACTTTTCATTCGACTGCCAGAAAAACTTAGCACTGCCTAGACTGCCTTTCAGCCAGCAAATCAACTATAATAATTTTACAGTTGTCGCTGGAACTTCTACAGATAAATTAAGACCAAAAAATGTGTTTTCTTACTTGTGGACAGAAATTGACGCCCGCAAAGATTCTAATACAATAGCATCAGCTTTACAACATGCTCTAAAGAATTTTGAATTGATCTCAGCAAAGAAACAGTACGTTTGTTCGCTGATGGTTGCGGCGGACAAAAAAATACGAATATGATGGCAATGTTGGCTCGTCGGTCATTCCTTTATTCCGCCTGATCGCATTTTCGGCATTATAGAAAAAGACATTAAGAAATGCCTGTTATCGTGGAAATTAGTGACTACGATGATTTAATTAGAAAGCATTCTACTATATGGAAAATCGGTATCGATTGGGATGTGTTCGATTGGAGAACACAAGCAAAACGAGTTATTAAGCTGAGTCTTTTGAGATTTTTGTAGCTTACACATTTTATTCATATTATTAAAATGTTGCAGTTTCATTTTCATGAATAAAATTCCTTACGGTTGTTATTGAACTAATTTATTTAGATATTTATTTGCAAAACTGGTTATTTGCAGTAAACATTATTTTTTTTCTAAAAATCTGTAAATATCTTAGGCTAGAAACCCCTAATTTCCATTCCTAAAAACTCTAAGCAATATTCATAAAATTCTCCACATTGCCAATAAACACGACTCGACCGTTGATCGTTTTTTCGATTTCCCAAAAATTGTCTTTCGAGCAAATAGCAAGTTTTGCAAATAAGGGCCTCATTTATTTGTGCTAGCACAATGTTCTAAGGTTACCTATCAGAAAGCTGATTCGCGAAATTTATTTACCCCATGTGAATGTGGAAATGGTGTACGAGTATTTGGCAAATAATGCAAATTCAAATGCAGCGGTGAAGTAGTTCGGTAAGTATATGAAGCTATTTTTTTTTTGCTTAGCTCCAATGGGTAGTATTTTATTGTATCTCTCCGCAAAAATTGATCCTGCTTTGCTTTAGTCTATTTTAAGCTAATAATGTTAAGACATAATAATGCCTGCTCGTGACAATAATTTGGAAGGCTATTTATCTCTGCTTTTTTCTTCCTAGGTAAAATCTTATAATGAGGCTTTATTACACTATTCTGAAGTAAAGTATGGTACCTAATATGTTTTTAATGACCTAAATTTCAGGGATGTAGAGAGAATCTTATTTTTTTAGGGTATATTGGGGAATACTTAAATTAGGGGGGCAGTCACATTATAGACTTTTATAGCTACTAAAATAACAAAGTTTAGAGCTGCATTCGAGGGATGGGCAATGAAGTTAGGTACTAAACGTTGACTAACATTGCGCTTAGAATGATTACGATATCGCGGCAGTAAGCTGTCACTAGTTTCAGTATTGCTTCCACTGGCTTCATGCGAAATCTGTTTAGCAAGCGCAGGAATTCTTATTGGCGATACAGCAACATCCATTACTTTCCGTTTTTGCAAGATTTGAACTGACTTGCTTCTAAAATGTACCTGTTTGGTTTGGCATGCCTTGTCACATACCTGTGACTGAACTTCTACTGTTAAAGGTTCAGGCAGTTCATCATGCTCCTCCTCAATAACTTCCACGTCTTCAGGCTCGGACTTTTCGGTTGAGGGTCCCGCTAGCTGCAAATATTTGGCGATGTCTTTCTGCCTTGCAGTTTTTTCGCTGAACACTCGTTTCGTAGAGATTAATTGTCTACCCAGTTGACATGCAAATTTATGAGGTCCAATATTAGGATTCATCCGGGCTCGAACGGTACTCATCTTGTATTGTAACGGGTGATTTTTTAAGAGGTGTAGGATTTGATTTTCAAAAAAACACAAAAAATTTGAAAAAACGATTAAATCTTTA